ATATGAAATGTTTCATCATAAGGATGAACAAATACTCCACTCCTCTACATTACTTTATGGTTCAGAGAATGTGTGTTGTGACCTGATGTGCAACTGTAAATGCTCACTCCTTAATCCTTGGAGACCGTGGAGAGAAGTAGGTGTGCCCGAGGCAGGGGTGGATGCAACATCGGTCATTAAAGGTCTGGGAGAGAATCTGAGACACAGGCTGATGAGTACAGGGGGGGTGGAGGGGGGGCTCTGGGTGAGGCTGGCTCACGGTTGTGCTTCCTCAATCCTTGGGCAGATGTGACATTTAAGTTGGACGATGGAGCCATCAGTGCCCACAAACCGCTGCTGATCTGTAGCTGCAAGTGGATGGCTGCCATGTTCGGGGGGTCGTTTGTAGAAAGCGCCAACAGTGAGGTACGTGCCTTCCGAAAAGCCCCAGTGGTATCTTTATGAACGCGCATGTGTATATAAGGTGTTTAACTAGCCAGAGGACTTCAATTCTTTAACTGCTTCCTTGAAATAGTCTTTTAGGCGGTACTTGAGTCTTAGGTTACCCTCTTCCTGATTCTGCAATTACGAGGTAGGATTGTCCACCATTCACTTGTTACCTGTGAGCCCCTCAGTGCTCTTATATCCTTTCATCCTCACAGCTCTCCTCATCCCTGAACACATGCTCAACTGTATTTTTTTTTAACAAATGTCACCAGGCAAGATACTATCAATCACATAAAAGAGGGGTCATGCCTGTCCCCCCAAGTTCCAGACAGTGAAAAATTTCTTCAGTCAGTTACCTCCTGGGCTCAGCTCTGTCCCTAACAGATGAGGGATCTTAAAAAGCCACCTCGTGTCTCAGTTCCCTTATCTGCAAGATGAGGGAGGCACGAGATCACCTAGGAGGTCCCCTTAAGCTACAGCACTCCCTGAGGCTCGGCCCTGACTTGCCTTCTCAGAGGGGTTGTCAACTCTGGGGAAACAGTAACGGAGCAAAGGGTTACTCCTCCAACCAGGCTTCTCAGTGCTTACTACGTCTAGTGGAAGCCACTGGGTCACCTGTCAAACCCTGGCCCTGTCTCCAAAAGTGGGTTATTCTCAGAGCACAGAGCAAGAGACCCTGTATCTTCATCTTTTTACAAACTGTTCTAAAAGAAAGAAAAATTCCCTTCAAGAATTAGTTTGGAGGTAGGCATTTTTTGTTGAGTTTTGCAAGTATTTCTTAGCCATCTTTAAAAAAACACACACACACACACACACAGGGACACCCCATCAAGTTTACTGTCCTCAGGGGCTGGTTTTGCTTATCCCAGCATCTCTCCAAACTTTGAACAGAAATACAGAAAACAATGGCTAATTTTTCCAGAGGGGCCCTCACATCAGAAATCTGAGCACTGCCTTTGTGACCCAGGAGCCTGCATTTGCATCCCCAAGTAGGGAAACAGAATCCTAGCATCACAAGCCAGGGTGGCTGGCCGTCACTACGCCCCTCTCCTGTTTCCAGAACAAACTGCAGCTGCTTCTAAGCCAATCCCCAGCAAAAGACTGTCTGCTGTTTGGAGAAAAGATACTAGAATTATCCTGATGACCTTTGCTGGTGTCTCCCAGCCTTTGTAAATCAGGAGGTCCTCTCCTGTAGCTACATGCAGTCTTTCCTGAACCCTACAAGGTGTTTGGGGGCACTGATACCAAGACACTACAGCTGCTGGATGCTGCCCAGTGATGAAGGGGCTCAGATCCCCAGTTCCCCTGCGTGCAAGCTGTGTGGTCTTGGGCAGGTACCACCTTTCTGAGCTCCAGCCTCCAGCTACAGCCTCCCCATCTGGAAAACACGTTAAAAACGCAAAGCGTGGCTGTGAGGTGTGAGTCAGTACTTGTGAAGCACCTCGTAAGCCCAAAACACGCAGTCGCTGGCGTCAGTCTTAGGTTGATGCCACTTGCATTGATGATATGCTTCCCTTCTCACTTCCAAGAAAATTTGGGGAAGCCACCAATTAATAACGCCTCATCAGGTCAGCATGTCACCGACCTCAGTCATCTCCAGAGATACAAAGCCCGGAGGCTGGCTTCCCTGATTTTTCCAGGTCACTGAAGTGTGTGCTGGTGGTGCCACGGAGCGCCTGCTATTAACCCAGCAGAGAGGACTCGATCAAGGTCAGGAGCCCAGGCACAAAGGGACACTGTCGGAGCTGACCTCACAAATGCTAATCCCCTTTATCCCTTCCCAGAATGGACTGTAGTTGTCTCCAGATTAAAATGTGCCAGAGAGGTGACCAAAACAGAAACTTGGCAGCAGATGTGAACACACAAGTGTAGGTGGTATAACAGCCTCTCCTGGAGGCGGCACCTGTTTAGCGTTTCCCCCGGGGACCTAACACCACCACCCCCACCCGTCAAGAACAGTGAGGTCACTCACTACTTAGAATGCAGCTGAGCCTGATAGAGACGTATAGATTCAACCCAGCTCAAAAGACAAAGACCATGGAATCAAGCAACGGCAGGTCTGTGCCCAGATAGCTAATCTGGGAAGAATGCTGTGAGCCACGGCCATGTCCACCCTTTCCTGCCCATTCTCTTTATTTCCAGGATAGACTATAACATTATATAGCTATGAACTCTAGTCTCAGCCTGAACTTGGGAAGTGACTGACCCCCTTTAACCTGTGTTCTCATCTGCAAAAATGGGGACAACAGGAGAACTTTCTTCAAAGGGCAAGTAAGCATAAGAATACACATGTAAAGCATCGAATTTAGTGCCCAGAACATACACATGCTCAGGAAGTGTTAGTGACTATTACCCTGGAGGACCTTGTTAAAGTGTTTCCATGAGGAGTTAAAGATCTTTGTCACCTGAAAGCCCTAAGGTCACCAGCCCCCAGTTCCCTCCCTGAACCAGCAAAGTATGGCAGAGGTAGTTACGGGGGTAAGAAGAAGCACTGGGTTAAAGACTCAAGAAATACTCCATGGTTAATTTTGGCCCATATTCACATGGACCTTTCTAGGCCACCTTTTTACTCTTTATTGTCTTTTGAAAATCTGACATCCCCCACAAAAACCCAGCCTATTTTTTTTTTGCATTAATAGAATTCACATGCATATCTAGAAAGAAATAAAATATGCCCATTGATGTTACTTTTTTTGTCATTTAATATTTAAGAGGACACTGTATTTTACTTATATTTTTCTCATTACTTTTAATGTAGCAGTAAGCATAATTCTCTCCCCAGAGGTACTCAGCAAGTGGTTCATTAAAAATGCATGCCTGGGTTGTAGTAAGCAATGCTCTGGATCTAGAATATTTTCTCATTTTCTATAAGACCGTCTCTAATTATAAGCCTAATAGTCCGAGTTGATCTTTGCAATTAAAATTTTAAACCAACTAAACTGGAATATGGGTCATAGTTTTAGAGTAGCATTGTATTCTCTTCCATTACTCTTATTTTTTTTTAAGCTACATCCAGCAGGTAGGATGCAAAATTTTTAATTCCATTTCTTTTATTCATATCATTTTTTAAAGTTCTACAGAAATGGTCACTCTGTTGCTATACAATTAATTATAAATGTTGAAACCACAGAAACAGCCTTAAAAAAAAAATCAACCATGAGGGGGAAAAAAAAGCATGTTCTGAAAGTGTTTTGAGTTTATTCTCATTTGCTGGTTATCTGAGGGTTCCTAACATTATTTGCCATAAAGAACCAATGCTTTAAAAAAAAAATTAGTGTTGTATTAAGCAGGAAGGAAACAGCAGGTCATGGATGATTACAAATGTCAGAATACTCCAAAGATATTGGGAGTATTGGGGCAGGGCTGCTTGCTGGAATTTGTCATCTGCTGCTGTCAGAAATAATTTCTATTTAAGATGTCTATTTTGCCATTATGTGGCATACACTCTTACCAAAAATTGCTAAGGTAATCTGAATAGCTTCAAAATCCATAATCTCAGTGAAGAAGAAAAAACTTTAGATGTCATCTATTTCAAATCTCTCCCATGTAACAGATGAGGAAACTGAGGATCAGAGAGGGTGAATGACTTGTCAAAGGTCACACAGCATTGTAGTGTCACAACCCTGGGCCTGCCTAGCCTCTTGCCCTGTCCTCCAAATCATTATTTTCAGAAACAGCAGACATTCCCATCCCTGTGAGAGTAGGTGTTCACAGGAAGCTCTGGGTTTTTTAAAATTTATAATCACTAATAAACACTTTATAGCACTTAGCAGTTTATAAAATGTATATATTTTTACTATCAAAATGGCCCAAATTTTAAAATTTCACAGCTTAATTAACCTTCAATTATCTAGCTGTACTAACCCAGACACCATTCTAGAGAAGTGAAATTTTGCCATATGTTCATACACATAGAACAAGTTTCTGTATCTATAAATAAATTCACATCTAAGATAAATGTATGTATATGTAAACATATATATACACAAATATAACCAGTGTTAAGATTAACTTGAGTAGTAATTAATTACAATACAACAGCTTTTTTATTTTAAAATAGTATCAGTAACAGTTTCTACTTGCCAAGTTTTATTTATTGTAGACGTGATGCTAGAAACTTGAAATGATCACACTTGTCAAGTCATGGATGGTAGTAACCCATGCACCTTATTAATAGAATCACAATTGTTTTCTCTCTATCAGAGAGGGGAGCAGGTAATTTTCTCAGTATTTCTAGAATTTTTCTGGGCCTTCCCTTTGATACACTAAGGGAAAGGTCTGTCTGAAAGGTTATTCCCTCTCTGAGGTAGCTGGTGGCCATGCAGGAAAATGATACAGCTGGTTACTATAGCTTAAACCATTCTGCAACCACACCACTATAGAAGACTGCAGTGGCTGTGAGCCCCTTGTAGATTGTGGAGGCATTTTATAGACAAATACACACACACAAATATATGGAGAGAGAGATTAGATATACAATACAGATATAAATAATACATAGATGTAATCATACATAGGTGTATATTTTTATATACTGTATAGAGGTTTATTAAGTACCAGAATTAAGAAGTCTATAATTGTTCATTCTATTTATTATTATTATTTAAGTTTTTATTTTAGGTTGTTTTTTTTTTTTTAATTTTGTATTTTCCTCCTAACAGGGGCACTGGGGACCAAAGTGTTGTACCACTGACCTATACCTCCACCTTAAAACTGTTCATTCTTTAGAACTTAGAAATCTATTCTTAAAAACTGTTAGTGAAATATGGTGCTTTATTGCATTGTAGCTTTATTCCTTACCATGAAGGGTTTCCGGTCCTGCACAGCAGTTCTGACTATAAACTTTAGAATTGTATTTCCTGGGTTCACATATTGGTCCCAACTTCCTAGCTCTGTGACCTTGGACACAGGACTTAACCTCCCTGAACCTCTGTTTCCTTATCTGTAAAATGGCAAAAATCATAGTCTTTTCCTCCTAGGACGGATGTAAGGATCAAAGTAGGTAATGCATGTGGAAAGCTTCTTAGCACATTACCTTGTGCACAGGAGGCCTTCAATTAGGCTAAATCTTCTAATCGTCGTCATGCCAACAGCAAGCACTAGAGGTACCATTCTGCACCATGCCAGAGCACACCTCATGGAGTGAGAGACCGAAAATGAAGAATAGCTGCTCTACCGTGTACACCCCCACTGACCCATGCCCAGACACTGGGAACTCCGCTTAGCACGCCGTCCCTGGTGCCCTAGCAAACCCTAGCGTGTATGTGTATGGGCAACAACTATAGGTAGTCAGGAGGGAGATTAGGGGGAGCCAACAGTGAACAGTTCCCCTTGCCTAGCCATTCCCCTACATGTCCTCCCAGGCAAAGGTTTCTCTGGAGTCTCTCAATCTGCTGATACCTGATAATGTTCCAGTAGTTCTGAATCTAGGTGCTTGTGCCGTAGGAAAAATACTGAAGTGTGTATATCATGCAAGCATATATTGATAGAATGTTGGAATCAAGCCAATCGCCTTGGCAACGGGGGTGGTTGCTCATGCTCTGTTTTGACATCTCAGAGAGCTGGGCTGTATCGTGTGTCGGCAGCAGTGCGGTGTGCAGCTCCCCCCGGCACCTGTCATGTTGCTAGGAGATTTCTTTCCCCACAATAGAGTATTATAAGGTACTTGGCAAGGAGGGCCTATAATGTCATCATACATTTACAGCCCATTTGTCTGATTTATAAGCCCAAATAGCCATTTAAAAATTCCAAATCAGGCTTTGTCAGGCAGCCCCACTCTTTTGTCATCTACAAATCAAACTGTTATGTTTAAAGCCGTAAATAGTGAATGACTTCTAAGCACAGCCTCAGAGCAGGTGCCCCAGACCCACTAATAACCAGTCCCCCAGTTGGGCTATTTACGAGCAGTATAGCCTGAGAATGTGCCCCCTGCTTTCTTCAGCAGAACTTACCTTTTCAAATAACATTTCAGGTATACCTCCCGAACATAAACAAGATGTCAATGCAGGCGGTATTGGATTATCTCTATACCAAGCAGTTGTCACCTAACTTGGACCTGGACCCACTGGAATTAATTGCCTTGGCAAACAGATTTTGCCTGCCACACTTGGTTGCACTTGCAGGTAAGGCTGATGACTTGGGGCCATGCAGTGTCTGTCTGTCATATTTATCAAAAGCACATTTAAGCAAAAGCAAGATTTCCAGGGAATTAAAAATTAATTTTTTATCACCCAATATAGGAGTGCCCTGTGTAGGGTGACAGGAACTGATCAGATGTATCAGACAGCCCAACTCAATTCAACAGCTACTTCCTAAGCACCTACTAGGTAGCAGGTCTTGCTCGGTGCCGCATATATAAACATGAGTAATGCATGACCACTGCCCCCGAGGCCCATGCTGTGTGCACTCTGCCTCATCAGTGGACCACAGAATTGGAAACAAAATTGTTGTGTCCATTTATCCCCATAACGTGCTCAGACACAGCCTCCAAGGAAGAGGCAGTAGGAGGCGGTGGTTAAGAACATAGGCTACAGACCCAGGTTGCTTGTGTTCAAATCCTGACTCCACCTTTTACTGGCTGGATGACTTCATACTTGACTTAACCGTTCTGTGTCTCAGCTTTCTCTCTCTTCAAAATGGGGATATTATTATTCTACAATAGAGCTGTTATGAAGACTAAGTAAGATGTGTGCATTATATATACAAAGTCCTTAGAACAGTGTCTGGCACCTAGTAAGCATTATGTAAGTGGTTTTCTTAAAGCTATTTTAGAAAATGTTCCGAAATTGTCAAGATCATTTTGGGAAAAAGGGAAAAAAGGAAATTTGGCTTCACTTCACAAAATCTTATGCATCATTTCTACATTTGTTCAGTTGGTAAGCTGAAGCAGGTCTAAACAAGATATATGCATTCAAATACTCTCTTCTTGAATTTGGACCTTTTGTTTCATTCACCAGAGGTGTCAGTTAGCAATACGGGTGTTTACTGCTACATTTAGTTGACTCCTACTAACCATGAAAGCAGAGATAGTGCCTGTTTTGTTCACTGGCTTGTCCCCTACACACAGAACAGTGCCTGAGCTTATTAGGCTCTCAATAAAAAATTATTGAATCGTTAAGTGAAAATCAGTGTATGAACAAATCAACCAGCCATATCTGCACTCAACTTTCTGGCAATGCCTTTAGAAAAAAAGATGTATTTCTCTGTACTCCAGGTTTCTACTACAATCAACCAGCTGGAGATAAAAGATTCCTCCTTACCTTCCTTCTCTACCAGTTGAATAGCAAGAGATCAAAGTTGAAGTATTGCTGTTCAATTTTTGTAACTGTCTTTAATCAATACACCTGGAGTCATAGAGCCAAATGAGTATTATTGCTTTTTAAATACTAACTCTAGGAGGCTTCAATAGACAATTCCTTTTTTTCAGAAGAGTCCCAAATCATTTGACTATCTACAGTATTTACAATATTTACCCTTTGAAGATAAATTTGATTGTTTTAAATAGTCAAAAGTATTTTGGAACCAAATCTGTTAAATAAGGTTTATGATCAGTCTTGAAGTAATGTCATTTTTGCATAGATATTAGGTATGGTGATGGAAACATGGGACTGACTTCTCCATGAAAGAAACCGACCCAAAGAAACCTTCTTGTATGAATTACAGACTCCCATGTATGTTTTCTTATTAAATGCTATTATTAACTGTTATGATTATTTAATATACAGCTTCCCAAGATGATTCCTTTACTCATTTATATGGTGTTTGCTGTTTCGTGTAAGTGTTTCGAACATAGTGTTTAAAATACATTGTGATTAAAAAAAATCAGTTTCTAGGGTGAAAATGCTTTGCAAGCCAAAGTGTTAAATGAATACCAAGAAATACTGCACTTACCTAAAATTCAAAACCCAATGACCTCTGGGAAATATAGTTCCAAACAGTTTTTTGTTTGTCAATCCAACAAGGAAGTGTTGGCGAACGAAACCATGTATATCTAGATGCCACATTGACCAGACAGAGACATACTGACCGACGAGTATGTAGAACCAGAGCAGAAAGTAAGCATGAGTTGGATAGTATACTAGATTAGAAGCATAAATGCAGTGCCAGAGATGAAAAAGAATATATCAAAATGACCATACTGCCCAAGGCAATCTACAGATTTAATGCGATCCCTATCAAATTACAGGACATTATTCACAGAACTAGAACAACCAATCCTAAAATTTATATGAAATCACAAAAGACCCAGAATTGCCAAAGCAATATTGAAGAAAAAGAACAAAGCTGGAGGAATAACCCTCCCAGACTTCAGACAATATTACAGAGCTACAGTCATCAAAATAGCATGGTATTGGCATAAAAACAGACATATGGATCAATGGAACAGAACAGAGAGCCCAGAAATAAACCCACAGACCTATGGTCAATTAATCTTCAGCAAAAGAGGCAAGAATATACAACAGAAAAAGGACAGTCTCTTCAGCAAGTGGTGTCGGGAAAACTGGACAGCAGCATGAAAATCAATGAAGTTAGAATACTCCCTCACTCTGTTCACAAAAATAAACTCAAAATGGCTTCAAGACTTAAAAAATACAAAACAAGACACAATAAATCTCTTAGAAGAAAACATAGGCAAAACATTCTCTGACATAAATCTTAGCAATGTTCTGCTAGGGCAGTCTCCTAGGAAATAGAAATAAGAGCAAAAATAAACAAATGGGACCTAATTAAACTTATAAGCTTTTGCACAACAAAGGAAACAATAAGCAAAACAAAATGACAACCTACGGAATGGGAGAAAATATTTGCAAATGATAAGACTGACAAAGGCTTAATTTCCAGAATATATAAACAACTCATACAACTTAATAACAAAAAAACAAACAACCCAGTCCAAAAATGGGCAGAAGACCTAAACAAGCAATTCTCCAATGAAGACATAGAAACGACCAATAGGCAAATGAAAAAAATGCTCAGTATCACTAATTATCAGAGAAATGCAAATCAAAATTACAATGAGTTAGCACCTCACACCAGTCAGAATGGCCATCATTCAAAAGTCCACGAATGATAAATGCTCAAAAAAATAAAAAAAAGGCTTACTGTATGATCCAGCAATCCCACTTCTGGGTATATATCTGGAGGGAACTCTAATTTAAAAAGATACATACACCCCAGTGTTCATAGCAGCACTATATATAATAGCCAAGACATGGAAGCAACCTAAATGTCCATCAACAGATGACTGGATAAAGAAGTTGTGGTGTATTTATACAATGGAATACTACTCAGCCATAAAAAGGAATAAAATAATGCCATTTGCAGCAACATGGAGATCGTCATCCTAAGTGAAGTAGCCAGAAAGAGAAAGAAAAATACCATATGATATCACTCATATGTGGAATCTTAAAAAAAGAAAGAAAGAAAGAGGACACTATGAACTCATCTACAAAAACAGACTCACAGACATAGTAAACAATCTTATGGTTAACTGGGAAAGGGGTGGGAAGAGATAAATTTGGGAGTTTGAGATTTATAAATGTTAGCCACTTTATATAAAAATAGATTCTAAAAAAGTTTCTGCTGTACAGCACAGGGAACTATGTTCAATATCTTGTAACAACCTTTAATGAAAAAGAATATGAAAATGAATATATATGTATGTGCATGACTGGGATATCATGCTGTACACCAGAAATGGACACACTGTAACTGACTGTACTTCAATTTAAAAAGAAAAAAATATATATCAACGTCAAGGAACCAGAAATGCGGGGCCAAGATTGTACCCTCACACGTCAATCCCAGAGGCCAGCCAACAACGCAGTCTCGGAACCATAATTTGAATTCAGTTCAGAAGCCTTGAACACAGCTTTGAAGCAGAAATGGCCCTCCTGCCTAGACTTTTGTGACTTCTGACTGAAGTTCCCTCCAATCTTTATAATCTAAGAGGTTGAACAATAATGTCCCCCATCTGCTGCTGTTGAGACAGATGTACACTTTCAGTTTTAATTCCCCATTTGGACTCATTCCTGTTACTCGATCCCTACACTGTCAGAGTATTGAGAACTGGAGTGATGTGAGTGGGGAAACTGTCCAGCAGGAAGATAGTGCGGAGTCTAGAGGATTCTAGGAAAGTGCTGGACTGTCCAGAGCAGCACTCTCCAAGAGAACTTTCCGCAGTGATGGAAACGGTGAGTGTTCACTTTTATCCAATACACGTGGGCTGCTGAGCACTGAAATGTGGCTAGTATTGCTGAGGACCTGAATTTTTTATTTGATTTGACTTTAATTAAGTTTAAATAGTCTGATGTGGCCAGTACTCACCATACTGGACAGTGCAAGTCTACAGACTCTGGTCATTTCAGAAGGGCTAACAAGTGTCCCCAGGGTCACTGGTGCAATGGCTAGAGACCAGAACTCCATGTGCTAAGAGGCCACATATCAGAGTGGGCCCTAGATTCAATCTGCATGGCTGGAGAGCTGTCCCGTACTTCCTCCTCTCTTAGGGGGTCCCAGACCAGACCCTCCAGGCATTAACTCTCCCCTGTTCCCTCTCTCCCCCAGAGCAGCACGCCGTTCAGGAGCTGACCAAGGCTGCCATGAGTGGCGTGGGCATCGATGGGGAAGTGCTCTCTTATTTGGAATTGGCCCAGGTTTGTAGCCATTTGCTTTTCACCTTCTAAGTGTGTTCAACCAGTTCACTTAATGCTGATAAAACACTGCTGTTACATCTGTCTAAATAAAGATGTCACCACCGAGTCACAGAGGCCCCCTGTGTGCATTGAGAAGATCTGAGAGTTTTACATTTCAGGCACCATTCACCCTGCTGGGCTTCGTTTGAAAAAACAAGGACCCCACCCCCACGCCAGCCCCATTATCCCCCAAGGCACCAGCTTCACAAGTGGGAGAACAGCTTGGGGCAAGGGAGGGGAAGGCTCTGTCTCTCTTGTTTTGAATTCTTAGACACATATTGGCTGAGATCAGAGTTTCTAGAATTCCGGGAGGTCCTGTGATGCCCCACATCTCGTTGTAGCTCTCCTGGGGTTGTTTTTGTTTTTTAATCAGTATTTGTTACTGTTGATGTTGTGATTCCATAATCCCAATACCCACTTGCCTCTTCCTCCAGAGAGGGTCTGAGATCTAGCTTCGGCTTTGTCACGGAACAACTTACTTCAGGCACAAAGTTAAATTCTGCCTCAGTTTCCTCATCTGTAGGAAATAGGGTTGGCAGTTCACAGCCTAGCAACCTCACAGATGATGTGGAAAATCAAGTGGGAGAGAATGTTCCAAAAAGTGCACTGGAGAGGGTATTCAGAGTTTACCTGTCCCTGGCTCAGACTTACTGGCAAAGAGTTTACACTCAGAAGGAACTAGGAATACATTCTTCTGTCTTTTCTTCGGCCTGTTGGCTTTCTTTGTTCCCTGTCTCCCTTAGGACAGTGGTTTATGGAGTCTTAGGTCAGGCATTTTAAATCAGTGTTTCTCAGTTAAGAGAGAGAAGTCGGTTTCAGGGAGAGGAGGGAGGCCTCTCGCAGGTGTTCCTCCAGCCATTCCAACCGTGGCCATGGGAGGTGGCCCAGATTCAAAAGGGAGAAAGGTGGGACGGGACTTCACATCCACCTCTTCATTCTGACTTAACATTCAACTAGTATTTGTTATTTTCCCCGTGAACCAGACACCACGCTAGACAAGAGGACACACAGATACAAACGGTCGATGCTCTGCCCTTGGGGCGATTGTGGGCAACTGAGAAAAAAACACATACGCATAGATTATTAAAATCCAGTATGAGCAACAGCCCAATAGAGGTTACAGTCAAAACTGAGAACAGACATCAGACATCCATTGCAGTAAAATCACCAAGCCCTGTCAAAACTGTCCACATTTGGAATCTGAGGTCTTTTGAAAGAGGCCTGGGGGAGAGTTTGTGATTGTGCTCTCTCCAATAAGTATTCCTCTTAGAGAAAAATAAAATGACCTGGAATTTCATAGAGGGCCAGTCCACATGAGGCAATGAGTTGCAGTTGTGTCTGTTTGTTGGCTTTGACCACAGACTCCGCCCCCACCTACACCTACACCCTGCAAGGAAATAGTATGATGGCTGCTAAGCTCTGACAAGCCTGGGCAGGAAGGGTGTAGCGTGGTGTCTCCCGTACCTCAGCTCATTCGTTAGACTCTAACCCCAGGCTGTACTGGTAAGTAAGTAACAATCAGCTTGGGGACAGGTGGGACCCTGACCTGTTGCTGTTTCCATGCACATTCCTACCTGGCTAACTGTAACAACACGAAGTCACCAAACTCAGAGTAGGGAAGAAATGCACCCAGTTGCCTCTCTTGAGCAAGTACAAGCCAACTCCAACTCCAGAATACCACTGCTCTAATCTTATTTTCAGAAAGAAATCTATCAAGAGAAGTTGAAAGCACCTGCTAAAATTCTCTGTGATGCTGGGCTTGTGATTTGCAGAGAGTTTCTTGAGTTAGTTTTTGAGGACTTTGGCTATTTCCTTGGCCTTCGTTCAGGGTGGAGATGTGGGCCCCAGAGGGAGCACCCTGCAGGTTTCAGGGGTTCACCTGATCAGAGAAACTTCAAGAGCAACAGTCCGCAGGATGGATGCCTGAAAGGGGCATGGACAGAAAGTGAAGGATGTGGAGACCTGCCCAGTTTGGGGAGGGAACAGGGAGTGGACTATTGATTTTTGAGCATCAGGTCTTTTTCAGTCTCAGCCAAGTCAGCTGCCACGGTCCTGAACATGTGCTCAGAAAGGAGAGGGTGGATGGAGTATTTGGATCCCTCCTGCCCTGCCCACACTGCCTGCTCTTCTTATGTAACCAAAGGACAGGTATAGGACAGTCACACATTCCTCAGTCTCCTCTTTCAGATCTTCGGCCCCAGCAAGCTGAGCTCTGACATGCGACACGGAGGATTCTGTTGCGGAGGCTTCCTTAAACAGATGACACCGCAACATTCTACTGTTGGCTGGTGCCTTCCAGAGGCCACAGCCACTTATCACTAGAGGGCAGGTGGGGGGGGAGGGGAGGGAGGGGGCAAGGTATACTTCAGACTCCTGATCTGCTACAGTGATTATTTTTAGTGTGCCTATCCCAGGGCGCAGGGGAGGAGTGTGCCAAACACTACTCGGCTGGCATCAGAACCATGGTCAAAGTCAAAACACTATCGTCAGAACAGGAGGTTTCTGAATTAGTCCTCTGGGCCATTTCTCTCACCCCTGCGATGGCATTTTATTTCTTGGTTGCATCACTTTAGACAATAGAGCCTGACACCCTTTTGGTGACTTCCCTGCAGTTTCACAACGCCCACCAGCTGGCTGCCTGGTGTTTGCACCACATCTGCACCAACTACAACAGCGTGTGTTCCAAGTTCCGCAAGGAAATCAAATCGAAATCTGCAGGTGAGACTGTGCGGTCCCCATGTGTCCAATTCTCCTCAACTCTGACTGTGAAGGGTTTGCCTTCACTGCCCTTGAGAAGGAACGTGGAGAATTCCTTGAGACTGGCTGGCAGTCCCAGATTCATGTGACGGGACACAGGGACTTGTAGGTTGGGAATTCTCTTCAGAGAACTTCGTGGTTGGGGGGATTCGGGTGCCCTGCTGCAGAGCAAGCTGAGGTGGTTAGCTCACCCTTGCTCAGGGAGGCATGCTTAGGAGCAAGCTTAGACTCTGAAATCAGGGGGTCCTGGGTTCAGACCCTGTGTGTCCAGCTGCTTGACTTTAGGCAAGTAATTCTACCTCCGAAAACTTTAGTGTCACGATCTGCGAAGGGTCCTACTCGTAGTCCCTGCATGTTGGGTTTTTGAGAGGATGTACAGGATAATCACGTATGAGCAGCACTAAGCACAGAACCTCGCACACAGAAGCGGTCAGTGAACAGCAGGCATCATCATCTTCACCTTTCTCCTTCACCAGACAACCAGGAATACTTTGAGCGGCACCGCTGGCCCCCAGTGTGGTACCTGAAGGAAGAAGACCACTACCAGCGTGTGAAAAGAGAAAGAGAGAAGGAAGACATTGCACTAAATAAACATCACTCAAGACGGAAGTGGTGCTTCTGGAATTCATCTCCAGCAGTCGCCTGAGGCGGAAGAGGGAAGAAAATCAGTAATCTGACACACCACTTTTAAAGGCACTACTGTAAAATTACTTATTATTAGAGATAAGATGTAGTTCAGGTTTCAGGCATTGATCTGCCTCCACTTTTGTGCATTTATCTTTGTTGGGATCAAAGCACAAGCTCACCATCAATGAGCCTGGACAAAAAGGGAAGTTGACGCTCACTGCATTCCTTAAATTTACATGTATAATTTTTTGTTACAAGGCTTAATAAACTTCAGTCCGTTATCTCCTTTCTTTTTATACAAAGGAAAAAAAATCCAGCTTTCCTGTTTCAAATTCCAAATTGGAAAATATTTTTATATGGTCTCTTGTATTTTGCTGGAAATGAAAATACTGTGTATTGCTTTATTTTACAGACCACAAATTAACCACGCAGTCGCCCTGTGAGTCTCTTCACCCACGTGACCACTGAGCATTATTACTTAATTAGTGGGTTATCCTTTTGTTGTGAAGTAAAGGGTTGGAATGAAATTCCCCAAAGTGCAAGCCAGAGAGCATTTAATCTTTGTTCTGCCGAATAACATTGGTATAATTACCAAGTCAACTCCAAGAATGTGTATTTACAATATTTGCCGTGTAAGTGCTAGTAATTATATGGTTCTATGTGCCATGTAAAATATAATGATATCAAATCTTCTGTTGTTTAAAACATCTAGATTCAAGAGGATAATCTTTATAATCATTAGAAGGGCTTATTACATCCCAGCATTATCCAGGGCAAACTCACTCATGGACCTGAATACAAGAGATACCATCAGAGATGGGTGTTGGGATGGCTGTTTGAGGATGTCCGTCTCTCGGGAGTCCTGGATCCTGCCGTGTTTCTGCACGCAGATTCTCTACTGACTTGAATCGAGATGGGCAAGGGAAAGGGTCCCAGGACTCTGTCCCCGCGTCTGCAGGCTTGTCACATCTCACCACCAGAAAAAGGCTTCCTCAGGTCTCTCACCTGCGGCCAACTTCACTTTGTAAGACCTGTATTTTTAACTCTTTCCAGGGAAAATTCATGTCGCTGCAGAAGTAGGCCAAGATAGACCACCCACCCCTGCTGAAATGCAGTGGGGCCTGTGAAGGCACAAAGCCGGAGGCTGGGTCATCTAGGGTCCCTGCATCCTCCAATGCAGACAGGAATTTTATTCCAAGAGTCTAGGAAATGGTGCTATTGTGAGTTAGTTCTGACCCTTTGTCTTCTGAGTTTTCAGTGTTAAAATAGAAAGTATTGAGCAGGGGAGCTTTGGCGAGGCAGCCAATCATCGCCTCTCTGTAAACGAAGCTGTTACAGCACTCATACAGAGTGTTTTAAGGCCACAGCTCCATGCCTGTCATGGGATGTGTGGTGGAGGCTGGGGCTTATTCTACCAGGAGGTCATTTTAATGATGCTAAAGGCTGTTGATTTTTTTTCTAGCTTTCAGAAGTTGGAAAAGAGGCAATTGAGCCCAGTGTTGACAGCCAAAAACATTTGAAAATCTATCCAGATTACAGATGGGCATTTATTCCAGGTGGTGGATACACACCAGTTACAAGAGTTTGGAGAGGCCCAGAAATGTGTCACCCTCACATGGTAAAGGAGGGGGCAGTTGAGTAGGGATGGATGACTGCAAATGCATCTGCTTTAATTTTTGGTCAGTAGGTTGTAAATTATTAATAGAAGGAGAAAGAAGACAGAAGATTAGGATAGATGTCAAGACTCAGGAAGAATTGACATATATCCCATCAAAAAATGGTAGAAGTTGAGTTTCTGACGAGTAGTCAGAGTTGAATTTACACAACCAAAGCTCCCATTTGATTGTAATCTTGCCAAAACGTAATGGACATGTAAATGCACCTGGGGTACAAGCAATAATATCCACTAGTGTTTGTTGTCAGCTCCTGTAACCAAGTGGCTGGTTCATTTGGTTGCTGCTGATTACGGCCTTTAACCATGGTGGTTTGTTTTCTGTTTTTTATTTCACAAAAAGCCAATAAAATTGTTTAGCTATAAAATGCCTCCAGTTTTTTTTTTAAGGCCTACCATCATTATCATGTGTGTAACTTTAACTTCTTTTTAAAAACTTGAAGAGTGCTGGGTCACGGGGGGCTGCGTGTGCTCCAGGAAGAAGGCAGCTTGAATGACTGTTGTCCTTGTCTTCAGTACTGCAGAGAGTCTAACACCATGCTGTACATGAGGGGTCTGGCTCTCTGCTCTTGGCAAGTACCGTTATGTCACTAGACATGGTACATTTTCGGAAAAAACAAAAATGACATCTCTACTCTAATGAACTTATTATAATCTCCGTTTGGGCAGTTCTGCCAGCAGTTAAGTGAACGTATGCAGTGGTGGGTTCCTGAAGATCAGTCTTTTATTCAGAAGCACATCTGAGAAAACCTTTGGGAAAATATGAAAACAATTTCTGGACTTCTAGGTAGTGTAATGTTTGCCCAAGCTCAGAGGGAAGAAGGGTCTCCACGGAGATCGCAAAGGGGGATTTTCTGAGTGGAAAATTCCCTGTGGAAAGGAGTGGACAACTATAAAAGAAAATAACAACTGCAGGAAGAAGGCAGTTTCCAACACATCAGCACACCTTTTAAAGGTGGGAGGTCCAGATTAGGCACCTTCTGCATACTGCCTCCAGTGCAGTCTCACCTGAAGAAAGTCTTGGTCTAAGTTTCTCGTAGGGCAATGTCTGGCAAACCATTGAGGATTTCAACAACCCTTTATCAGCATTACAGAAACCACAAATTCTACTGGTCTAGAAGTAACTCAATTATTTTCATTACAGACATTCAAAAGCAAGAATCGTATGCTTCTAAGACTTTTTTTCCCCACACTTGCTTCCATTATATGGTATATCAGTTGTCAAAATTCAGTTTTTCATCACTGTGACACTGGCTAAGTAGAATAAGTTCTCCTAGGCAGAGGGAAAAACAGTGAATTCTGAATTTGGAAACTTCTGAGTGCAGCATTTCTGAAATGAATGCTATTCTGCAAGCTGAAGATGTATCAGGCCTTTTCCTGTGGAAATATATAATGGTATTTCCTAAACTGAATGCTCTAATTGGGTGCTAGTGGGCAAGCAGCACTAATTCCTCTTTTCTAGAAGAATGTGACTATTGCATAAAAGATGTCGAGTTAAAAGCCAGGGAGAATGTTTGTGTTGTGTGTGTATGAGCATGTGTGTAATAATCAAGAAGCAACAGAAGGAAGCGAGGGGTGGGGGGCTAAAGATAATTTTAAAAAAAGAAAAAGAGGGAGAAGGGCCACTGACCAGAGCCATGGAAGTTGAATTTAACACTATGAGCCATGGATGGACTGTCTTTCTTCCAAAGTGCTAATTTGTGAGATTATTCCCTATCTCATGACCTAATTTACTTTCAGATGAAGACTTTGCTCTCTTGAATTTCCAATTAGGAGGCAGGTGATATATGCAACACAGAAAGGCAGTGGTGTGGCCACACTGGTGACTTGTAAAAGGAGAAGCCAGGCTGTTCCCTTTGGCTGCATTTGAAAATTTCAGCCTATGCTAATAGTCCCTTTAAGTTGGGTATTTTTCCTTAAGCCATTTAGACACATGATTTTTCACTGAGTGCACGTGCAGGTGCTTCATCAGTTAGACTTTTACAGACTAGAGTCTACAAAATATGGAAATAATTTGGGAGCAGATTAACTCTTGGGTAGAAACAAATCCATCATACATTTGCGCATCCACAGACATGAACGCGCTAGAAACAACAGTAGGAGACATGAAGTGACTTGCCAGCAACTCACTCCCATGCTTGCCATTTCTCCAGGAACAGAACATTTTAGTGACATGAATCTCCACTAGCATGTAGATAAAACAGGTGATTCCCAAATGTGGCCCCAGAGAATGGGTATTTAAATTATTTGAGTCCGAATATATTGTCAGTCCCAACGACAAGCATAGTTAGATTTTGCAGGCAATCAATGAGAAAAGAACTTGGTTCATTTCTCTCTGCTTGGAGGCCAACCCAAGTTTGGGCATTTTTTGGTTCCTTCCCAATCTGATAAAAATAAACATCCTTTTGGTTTGATGACCCATGGTAGTCCCAACTGGAGCGATAATACCATGGAATGTTAAGCTTAAGTGTTGTCTGAAAAGATACATAACCTCTCTAACTTGAGTCATCTTAAAAAAAAAAAAAGGAAACAGCTTTCACTGAATCTTTGGTGCAGATTAAATGAGATGATTTAGGTAAAAGCACTTGGCACAGTGCCTGGCACTAGTTAGCACTCAGTAAATGGACCTGTGAGCACATCAAATACCCCCAGGCAAGAAATCCAAGAGAGGGGGACAACGTTGCACATTACAAAATAGAACCATGCGATCATTTCCTACATTTCTCAAACCGAGGGCCAACCTTGCTGCTTAGTGCTTCATGACAGTGATTCAAGAATTAGAAAGTAAGAGCTGTGGAAAGAGAAAAAGCAGGTGGTGGGAGGATGGAGGAGAGTATGGCTCTTTCAAAGAAGACAGTCCCCTTCACCATTTCTCCCTTTTCTTTGTGGAGTAAGGATGGGCCACCCTAAGGTGAAATTTGGCTGAGACTCTGATTCACTTAGAGTTTGCTTTCTTTTTTTTTTAAATTGCTCTGTCATTTTTTCCCTATTTTTCTTGAAGACTGGAAGCAGAGTCTAGTCAATCAGACTCCTCAGTGCTCTGCATTCATCTTCCGTCTGCAAAGCCCTCTCTTTATTATTTTCTCCTTCTTCCATAATATCAACTCCCGTAATATGTTCGATACATGTCTTAAAATGTGCAGATGTCCTTCTACACCGCGTTGTTTCGTGTGCGTGGTTATTGCACAGATGGTGTTACATAATAAATTTGCTTCTCAGACTCCACCCTGCCTTGGACATCTAAGCCGTGTTGTAACATGTGCACCCAGCTCTCTGCTCCCCATGGCTGCTCAGCGTTCTGGTTACAGCATCTGCCACATTCCACTCTCCCATTCCACTGCCCGTAGAAGCACAAGTCAATTCCATTCCCAGGCGCTACAGTGAACCTCCCTGCTCATGCCCTGGGGTCAAGATCTAAAGATGGATTCTAGGTTTGACTCTAGACATATAGAACCATAGCCTTCTGAAGTGATGGACATGTGGGAACATGGGACTCAGAGAGAAAGTCCCTTTCTGCTCCCAGCACTAAGTTGACATGATGCTACAGAATTCAAGAGCTATAAAGAATCTGAAAGGCTCTGGCCCAGCCCAGAGACTGACTATCCCCTAACAGAGAAACTGAGCTCAACTTCCTGCTGAGAAACTTAAAGAGGCTTTCCTGACAGTGAAAGTTGTTAGCGATTGAAATGAGTTAGACCCATCTGGCCTTGGCATCTGACCCTCATGAAAGGGAAGAGGACAAGATGGCTTCTCAAAAGCCCCTTGAATACTAAGATTTCTGATTTTCTGCCAAAAAAAAAAAATCCCTAGAAAGCTTGTGCATATGCATCGAAGGTTGTCTCTGATTTTGTTATTTTCTACATAAAGTCTAAAGGAAAAATAACCTTCCAACACAAACTTTATGGATTGTTCAAAGTGTCTTTCAGATTCTTTATGACTCGTTCTACAGAATCATATCAGTATGAATATAAAATTTCCCTTTCTCTTAGTTTTCCACTCTGGGTGGTAAAGCACAGGGCAACACCACCTAATTCATTAAATGGAGGGTGTTCAGACCACTGTGATTTCCACCGCCAGCCTCACTCTCACTGGGATGCGTGGACCCCATGATCACCACTAAGATATCTTTCAATCTGTGTATCTGAAAGAATTCTTTAAAAGTAAGTAGTCTTAAATGAAAGAATGAAAGATACATACAGCACCCAAAGAGAGCTCAACTAATTTCTGAACCATCTCAAAGTCATTTTGAAATGAAACCATATTCTGAGTCCACAAGTGTTAAAAGCTGACTGTATAACCAGGAATTCTCCAAATTAACCTCTTCTAAAAATACAATATTTATTAAAAGGTAAGTAATTAAAATATGCTAAAAAAAAAAAAAGGAAGCAGTCACAGTAAATGGCCAAACATTTGAAATTTCCAACACAGGGAAACAGACTTACCAATTTTTTTTAAATAATAATAAGGTGGACTCTCTCCCCAGCAACTTCTGTACTGCTGGCTACCCCTGCTCCTATTCTGTTTATATTTGCATGGATAGCCAGGCTAGTGAGGCCTTGGGACGTTAAGATGCACGTTCACATGCTCTTTCAGTCTGATTCAGTGTTGCCTCACTGCGCCCAACTGGATGGATTGATGTTCCAAGCTTGGCACCAATTGACCAAAGTCCAAAACAAAGACATGAGGACCACGATAGTAATATTTAACATTTTGAATATATATGGTGGCCAGACAATAAGTGCTTTACATGCATTTACCTCATTTAATTCTCACTAGTATGGGTGAAAAAGGTAATGGGTTCCCCAGAAGCCGACCCTGAAATGAAGGTTCACAGGCAGGTGAGGAAGTGCCCTTAGGTGAGACCAAAAAGGGAGGGCTCAGGAAGCAGGAAGGTAAGAAGCCAAGCAGGGGCATGGTTTCAGGCAGTCCCACACTCAGCCTGGTCTCAAGGCACATCCTGGAGAAGAACCTATACCTCAGAGTTGGCTTTTATAGTCTTGCACAGATAGTCCAAAGCTCAGTGCTCTTGGCAGAGGATGGGAAGGGAAAAGTGCAAACTCCTGGGTATTTTAGGCCTGCTTTGGCAAGATGAAGAAAGTCGCTCCAGTAGCATGTAGGAAATCCTCCAAGAAGAGTCACAGATGGGGGCTGTTAAAGGTAAACAGAAGAACATAAAAGCTGGGGAGGGATGCCCAGAAAAGTGGAAAGGACCCCAGAGCATCTGGGAGGAGCAGAGGTTGACTATCTACTAGCCTCTATTTTGAAATTCTGAGAACAACCTGGATGATTTGATGGGGCACCCTGATGGAAGTTTTGGGTGCTAATGAGTAAATATGGATGAAACATTGCAACCTCTTTTGCTTTCTTGT